TAATAATAATAATAATAATAATAATAATAATAATAATAATAAAATGATGAGGTCAAATTAATTCGAGATTTATTGGATGTAACTGACATGGAAAATATTGAAAAAGTAGATATGAAATACATGGAAACAGGGACATTGAGAAAGTTGAAAAGATTATTTTTTTAAGGTAATAATACCAAATGGCAATTTTATTATTTAAAGTTTGGATAATTTCAGAACGAAGTATCATCTCATAGGGATTCTATTCATTGAACGTTAAAGCAAAGAAAAACAAAAAGAACACAAAACCACAAATGTAGAGAAAAAAAAAAATAAAGGAAAAAGAATAGAAACAGTTTTAGTCTGCAGCATTTCTGTTTTATGTAATGATGCTAAAATATTGATATGGCCAAATATTAGTAACCAAAGAAATGCGCTGTCACAAATGTGATTTCATGTAGATGAAATCATGGGTACTTTTATAGATAGAAAGATGTATACTTAATAAAATATTAATAAAATATTGACTTAATGTCATAATAATGTTGCAATACAGAATTGTTACTGCAAGGCCTCTTTATCATTTCATAGAAATTTTCACGCAGTTAAAACTACACCATGTTTGTGTTACATTAAAAAAAAGAGAGAAAAAGAGAATCATAAGATTTAGCTTTAACAATTAGAACACACATTCTTGTTTTCAGCATTTTCTACAGTTAACAAACAAACCAACAAAGAACAGTGGCCCCCCGTTTCAAAACTCTGCTGTTTTAAACCAGTGCTCCACATACCTGAAGATGTTTGGACACTTGCAGACAGCAAAGTTGTTTTCAATCCATGTGTAGTTGACAGCAGCTACAGTTCAGGTTCACTGTAAAACGTAATGAAATATTTGTTCACACTCTTGGAAAAGTGGTCAAAGATCATTACACTCCCCTTAACCCCGCTGACTTATTGTTTTGTAGTTTAGCTTTTTGTTAGTGTCTTTGTCAGTATTGGTAGCACTGATAGCAGGTGCAGTTGCACAGAGGTTTGGTGAGTCTCCCGGCACAGTCTTGTGTGTTAGAGGTACCAGAAGACAAGTATTTATATGAGGAGAGTACAACATGATTGTAGAAAGGCTTTGAGTTTTGTCATGAAGTGAGGAAGGAGAGAAATGAAAATGCAGTATTTAGAAAGCAGAAGATTAGACTGAAAACGAACCTTTAATTAGCCTCATTGTATTGATAGGCTGTTATCATCATAAAAATATGCGCAATGCTTTTTTCGGAATATTATCGTCACGTTTAGTGAGGAACAAACGGTAAAAACTGTATTTTATAAGGACAGCGCAAGAAACAAAAGAAAAAGAAAAAAATGCCACCGCTTTCATATTAGTGTAAAAGTGCATCATGTCAACCAATAAAAAGTGATTTGGCAACAGGTGAAATTTGATTATTTAGGAATTGGGGGCAGTTTGGGTAGTGACGACTGCGGCAGAATCAAAATTCACATATTTTATAAAACTGAAAAGTTTAATTATCTGGGATAAAGAAATTAAAGTTATAGACTATATTTATATGAAATTTCACATGATTTGAAATGATACTTATTTTCTATATTTAAAAAATTTTCTTGGTTAAACTTCCTTTACGAAAGCTAAAGTTTGTGTTTAATTTAAAATCCAACTTTTGTAACACATTCATTTAGCTTCCATGCCCACAGTTCCAAATTTTCTTTTTTTTCTGTGTGTATATTTTTCTTGTTAATCATTTAACATTCCTCACAGCCTGGCAAACAAACTGCTGGAGCGTCAATAGTGTATATATTACTGAAACATCCTATAGTAGCATTTAACAATGCAATGTGAGCTCAGCATAAAGCATAGAAATAAAACTGTTAAATTCAATTTCAATTTCAAAAACAGTTTCTTCAAGGCACTTCATACTGTAATGGAAAGACCTTACAATAATCCTTTAGTATGTTCTTTTGGACCGTACTTTTTTGGAGTATGTTTTTGTTGAGCAAATTAATGAATGCAGTCATGAAGTAATTACACACTGAATAACACAAAGTCTATGAAAAATCTTATTTTCTTTTTTTAAATGTATCATTATGCTCACTGTGCCCAGGTGTGCCAGTCAGATTATCTGGAAGCACTTTGTGCTCTGGAAGAGTCGAAATCTTTTACAACAACACTTGGGGAACAGTCTGTGTTGATAACTGGGACATAAATGATGCTGAGGTGGTCTGCAGAGAGCTTATAATTATTTATAATAATAACAATAATAATCTTTATAATGTATCATTCTTAATATAATAAGGTAAATGTTTTGCCATTTTTAATTGAGTCATCTCTCCATGACTGATGTTTCCTCAGTGATCCTTCCAAAGCCCAGAATCTTCATGATTCCTGCTGGTAAAGTTGAGCGGAGAAGCGATGTCAGCATCACTTGTTCAATATCACCTCAAAGCCAACAGCTTGTACAAGGAGAATTTACTCTGAAGCATATTTCAGGCTCATTCAGTCAGAAAGAGCCATCAACTACCAACTCGGCTACATTCAAGATTCTCCAAGTAGATTTTGACAGTGATGGATTTTACCAGTGAATAGTCACACGACTCCAGCATCTCCACAAGTGACTCTGTCAACATCTCTGTTATTGGTAATAAAATTCTTTATATTACAGTGATAAAGTGACAGGAAAAATACTGTTTACTTGTTATTCGATGACAGTGATTTCTATGACAGAACTGTGCCTAATGATTCTGTCATGATAATGCATGGACTCAAAGATCCAGGCATCCAGTTTGGATTTCCAGCCTTGTCCCTTGAACACAGAGATTACTCCAGATTCTCTGAATCTTTTTCATGATATTACTGATGTTGTCCTGGTCCTGGGTCTTTAGACCAAGTGTTTTGAGTTTTCCTGTGTTTCTTTGCCATTTTTGTGTTATGTTTAAGTCCACTT